TTACATAGTTACATAGTTACATAGCTGAAAAGAGACTTGCGTCCATCAAGTTCAGCCTTCCTCACAAATGTTGTTGCTGTTGATCCAAAAGAAGGCAAAAACCTGGTCTGAAGCACTTCCAATTTTGCCACAAACTAGGAAAAAAATTCCTTCTTAACCCCAAAATAGCAGTCAGATGTTTCCTTGGATCAAGCAGCTATTACCCCACTAATTAGAAATTATATCCCTGTATGTTATGTTTTTGTAAGTATTTATCCAATTTCAGTTTAAACATCTGTATGGACTCTGACAAAACCACCTCTTCAGGCAAAGAATTCCATATGCTTATTGTTCTTACTGTAAAAAAACCTTTTCTTTGCCTTAGATGAAATCTCCTTTCTTCCAGCCTAAATGTGTGACCTAGTGTCCTATGTATAGCCCTGTTTATGAATAGATTTCCAGATAAAGGTTTGTACTGGCCCCGAATATATTTGTATAAAGTTATCATATTCCCTCTCAGGCGCCGTTTTTCCAAACTAAACAGATTTAATTTTTTTAACCTTTCTTCGTAACTAAAATGCTCCATTCCTTTTATCAATTTTGTAGCTCGTCTCTGGACCCTCTCCAGTGCCATGATATCCTTCTTTAGAACAGGCGCCCAAAATTGCAAAGCATATTCAAGGTGTGGTCTTACCAGTGAATTATAAAGAGGCAAAATTATATTTTCATCCCGAGAATTTATGCCCCTATTTATACATGACAAAATCTTACTGGCCTTAGCAAATGCAGATTGACATTGCATATTGCTGCCTAATTTGTTGTCTATAACAATTCCCAAATCCTTCTCGTGTGTGGTTATCCCTAATTCACTACCATTTAATGTGCAAGTTGCTTGTGCATTCTTAAACCCGAAGTGCATAACTTTGCATTTCTCTATGTTAAATTTCACCTGCCATTTTAGTGCCCAGTCCCCCAATCTATCCAAATCTCTCTGCAGCAAAGCAATATCCTGCTCACATTTTATTACTTTACAAAGTTTTGTGTCATCTGCAAACACTGATACATGGCTTTCAATGCCTATTTCAAAATCATTTATAAATATGTTAAATAGAAGT